AAGACTTCCCTGAAGCCCAATTTGGGGGCAAAACTTTCTTAAATAATAGGATGGAATGGGGATTAAATGCCGGACCAGTGAAGGAGGTATTCTAACTCCTAGCCCTGAATCTGAATTTCAGTGTCGTGGCATGGCTGTCTTTTAGCAGAAGTATTTTACAAGGGTGCAGAAACCCACAGGAAGTCCCTAGTACCCTTTACTGGCAATTTCCTTTAAGTATTTCTGCAGCATAACTAGGAGTTAGAATGACAGAGTGACTTTGCCGCATGTTCTGTACTTCAAGAGGCATTGGTAGGGGACGGTTCTTGTACTGGAACAGCCTCCCACAAACTGATGCTTAGGACTACAAGCGCCATAACCCCTGACCATGGGCCATGCTGACGGAAGCTGGGAGTCCTAAGCATCTGCAGGGCACCAGCTTCAGGAAGGTTAGACAACGGCATGAAAGACCTTTGGGTCTCATTCTGCTAGAGTAATGACTAGGAAAAGAAATCACATGGGGGGCAATATGGATGCGAGCCCTTTAACGTTGAATTCTAGAACAGTAGAGTTGGAAGGGGCCATGAAGGCCATCGAGTCCAGCCCCCTGCTGTTGCAGGACACCCCGTCACACCATCCCACTCAGGGGGCTGCCCAGTTTCTCCCTGAATGTCTCCAGTGTGGGAGAGCCCCCCACCTCTCCAGGCAGCTGGTCCCACTGTCCTATCGCTCTGATTATGGGGAAGCTTTTCCCAATGTCCAGCCTGAACCTGGGATGTTGCAACTTGAATTGATTATTCTGTGTCCTACACTCTAGCATCAGGAAGAAGCGATCCTGGCCTTCCTCTTTGTGACAGCCTTTGAGGTACTTCTAGAGGGATATCATGTCCCCCCTCAATCTTCTTTTCTCAAGGCTAAACATGCCCATTTCTCCCAGTCTCTCCTCAAAGGGCAGCATTTCCAAACCCTGGATCATTTTTGTCGCCCTCCACTGGACCCTTTCTAATTTACCTGCATCTTTCTTAAATCTTGGTGCCCAGAACTGGACAGTGTTCCAGGTGAGGTCTGACCGGTGAGGAGGGCAACTTGTCCCTTCAAATGTTGTTCGACTGTAACTCCCACCAGCCCTGGCCAGAACAGAAAGTGTTAAGGAGCTGCAGCCCAACAACATCGGTAGGGCTGCAAGTCACTCACCCCTGCTTTGAAGTCTTGGCGGAAGTCTTTGTTGGAGGGCACGTGCTGCAGGATTCTGGAGCGCCAGCGGCCGAGTGGGTGGCCATGGGGAGTCACAGGCTGGACCCCCAGGGCCAGGGCCCTTGCACTGGACCTGCTAGTGCAGGTTCTGTGCAAACAAGGACCACCAGAACAACTGTGACAACCTAAGACCAGGAAGAAACGGTTCTTCGACCACTCGATGCAAGACTGAGCCAGCATTAGGGCGAAACACGAGTAAGGAACCACGGACTGCACCCTACAAAACTTCTTTAGCAATGTTCCCGGTTTGTCCGAGTGACCCCACCCTATGCGGCTGCTGCTTTGGGACCGTGTGTGTGTTTTGTACTAAGTTGGAGGTGTGTAGGCATCTTCAAAGAGACAACCAAAAGGTGCCATTACTGGGGTTATTATTTTATTTACTGCATAGACAGTCTTCCTTTCCAGCAGAAACGGGACTCAAGTGGAGGAATGCCTGCATGCATGTGTGAACCAACATAAACACGAGCAACCAAAATCTCTAGCCCTGGGAAATTGAGTGTCATGAGGTATCTTGGGGCAAATCTCATGCTTACATGGGATTTATAACTGAGAAGATCTTGTATTTGAGAATTATGACCATCAGTAGTAAAAAGGCATCCTTCCCTTTCGCTAGCTGTACTGGGACCAGCTCTACCTTTGATGTGCAGTTGAAAGTTGTCGCTTGTCGGCAATACAAAAAAAAACAAAACAAAACAAAACAAAAACAGGCACCCGATCTGATTGATTCCTCATCAGGGCAATGAAGAAGCTGGGGTCATGAACTGAAAATATTTCGCTTCATTAACGCAACCCTGAAGCAGTGAGACGTGAAACTGAATCAGTGTATTCCATCATGGTTCACAAATTATGTTGTTGGATACTTGGTTATACTGCTGCATGTGTTAATGTTTGAACCACAGTGGCTATTGTTTAAAGATTTAAGAGAGAGAGAGAGAGAGAGAGAGAGAGAGAGAGAGAGAGAGAGAGAACCTCATCCATTATATTTTTGACAATTTATATGAAGCCAAGAATTTCTAAATTCATATATGTAGAAATAATATTTGATTGCTGAACTCCCTGTACAATACTTCTGATGTGCTATTTCTGCCACAAATACCTCTTACTGAATTATAGCCCCTTAAGAGGCATCTGCGAAAGATGGAAGCGAAAAAAAACCCCTCTCTGGGAACACCAGCTTAAGGTTTGCAGTCCAGAGCTGCCTATTATCAACATTTCACAGCGAGTTTCCCAATTTTCAGATCCCCGAGGTGAGATTCGAGTTGAGCTCACCAATACATGCTTGGCTCCAAAACTCACATTTTCCGACTTCAGCGCTGAAGTCCCAGTGGCAGGCAGGGAAACCTGGTCACAGCCAAAGAAGTCATTTTTTGGCTCAGAAATGCTTTTTCCTACTTCTCTGGAGCCAAACCACTACCACGGAGATCACCAGAGCTTTGTGCTGGGCCCTTAACTGCCTCCCCTGTATTAGTGTTTTAACAGCCAACCTCTGCAGATTACGGAGCTGTTTTCCTGTCATATACTCGCTAGCACTTAAGTCTTGATGGACGAGGCTCTCAAACTTTGTAATAGAAAACCACCCTTATTTTCGGTGCTGGTGGGGAATTTGGTTAACTCCATGCAAGCACGCCTAAGATGACAGCATTAAGAGTACCATTTTTATCCTAATGACTTGCACACCGTAACCCTAAGCGGGAGCCTTAAAAATTATGCTGAATGTTCCTCTGCATCTAAGATCTAGGCTGACTAGGGATAAAATCCTTGCTCTTCAGGAACAATCAGCAGCTGAAGCTAAAAGGGCCCTCGCTGGACCACTGTTCCCAGAGACCAACCATCCCAGTTTCAGTGAGCTGACAGGACTAATTCCTCCAAGCGGATCAACTTGACCTGGGCTCTTCCTTCACGATTGCTGGAAGCACCTCAAGACTAGTCGTTGCCAGTTCTGTTTAGCAATACGGAGAAATAATGAGTGAACCAAACTGGTTGGACTGGCTAGGGACGATAGCAGTTGGAGACCAGCAACATCTCAGGTCTGGGAGCCACTGCTCTAGCCGCCATCTCTCCTGGCCTCTCCGGTTTATTTTATTTATATCCCGCCTTTTTTCCTTTCAAAGAACCCCAGGTGGCTCACATCATTCTCCTCCTCTCAATCTTAGTCGCAAAACAACAAGGCCAAAAGGCTGAGAGAGGGGCCCAAAGTCACCCAGCTGGCTCCATGGCTGAGTGGGAGCTAGGACCCCGAATCTCCTGCGTCCCAGACCCAGGCTTTTAAACATGACGCCGCACACGCTCTCTGGTTGCTGTGACATGAAAGCATGCATGGACAGGCCCTTTTTGGGGAAGGGAAGAGTGGTAAGGAAGTTCAAAAGACATGGATGTTTACTGCACGCAGAAATCGGGTCTTACACACAGCTTCTGCCTCTGCTAGTTGGAAAGCTCACTGCCATGATGCTGCCCCCTCCCCGCCAATTATGCTTTGTATATAATGGCAGCTTTTGCTGTGAGAAATGAAACCGTTTGCTTCATCGCCACCGCATCTCTGGGAGCAGGGTCACCCTGTGGCTTCTGACAGCCCCTGAACCAGAGGCAGCGGCTGGGGAGACTTCGGTAAAATCTTTGGCTTGTTACTGCGCCCTTAGCACATGGAGGGTGTGGAACACAGCCCATTATAGCAGGGAGCCAGCGACTGAAGGAGTACCTGTAAGCCGTTTCTTTGCTTGTTTGTGGGCCATCTGCACCCGTATTCAGTCTTCGTAATCAGTAACGCCAATTTGTGTATTTTAGAATTGGTGGGGTTCTAATGTTTGTCAACCACCCAGAGAGCCCTCTGGGCTATAGGGGCGGGACATAAATGCAATGAAAGAACAAATGGAACGGAATGGAATAGAAATAAAGAGCAATGATTGTCTTTGGCACGAGTGGTTGTCTTTTATCCTGATTATCCTCTGCGGCCTGGGCTGCACCAGGCTCCTGGGGCAATTTATTTATTTATTAATTAAAACATTTCTATGCCGCCCCATTCGCCGAAGCCTCGGGGCGGCTCACAACATGAAGTAAAATACAAAAATAACTATAACAATATAAAATACAAGCAGACGGCAAAAGCGTCAACCAAAGCCACTGCAGACCTCGATTCTGTCATTGCTGCCCTGGAAGGACCTGCCTTACAAGTACAGCGCCAGACTCGGTGGCGACACGAAGCCAAGAAGCCTGGGAAGAAACTGTCCTTGGCTGAAAGGGGATTAGGTACCTTTGGGCCTTGGACCGCCCACCTCAGGGAACGCACAGCCTCTAAACAACACTGAACTTCCAATGCTTTGTTAACGAGCCTTTGAATCTTAGATCATGAATTTAAGGGTTTAAAAAACAGACTCATTATAAAACGGGTTTTCCTCCACGATTCATATGATCAGATGCAGAATGCTATTGTTTTAGATAAATACGCAGGATAAAACAGCATGTAAAAACGGTGCAGGTCTTTTAAGGAACGCACACACCAGCAGGAGTTTGATCTAATAATGGGATGTTCTGTTCTTCACCCAAGAACAGAACAACCCAAAGCAAAAGCCCCAATTCAACTGCACAATGATCTAGAAATGAGATCAGAGGAGTATAAAACCAAGCAGAAAACTCCAGGTTGAGCATGCTGTTACCTTTCGCATAGAAAAAAAATTAATCGAATCTTCTTACTTCTTACATTTATTCAGGAATTCATTCCCCACTTTTTTTAGTGCAAATGCAGTTAAAATGAGTTGAAATCAGTGTCTTACCTGGAGGTCCTTCACATTTGGAAACGGGATACCTATCGCGATAACGGCGCGGGCATTGTCATCGGAGAAATCCAAGCCTTCACTGACTTTGCCTCTGTAGACAGCGATAAGGAGCGCACCGTCTGAAAGGAAAACAACAAGCAATTTCACATAAGGGTGGGGAGCTTTGCTTCTCGGTGCTTCCAGGAGCCCTCGCTACACTCTGCATGCGGGACAGGCCTCGGGGGAGTCCTGGGCAGGCCCCTACCAAGGGCCAAAGCCCAGCATGGCCTCGCTGTACGTTCCTGATGAAGTACGTTTTTGCAGTATGGAGGAAATCTTGTTCCCTCCTGTTCCCACATGAGCTAGGGATAGCCTGCCTCCAGGAGACCCTGTGACACGGTGGGCCCACGGCCACCCTGGCGAGGGGCACAAAAGAGCCTCTCCTGTCTGGAAATGGCACGCAAGAGCCATGCGCCAGCTCGGCTGGACAAGCTGCCTCAGGAAGCCAACCGCCTTTGCCCACCTGACGTACGACGGAGGAGAGGCAGGGAGATTCACCACACGGCGAGGGCAAGTCATGGGCTGAGTTTCACTAGATGTTTCTGAGATGGGGAAACTTGGCGCAGGGCTGTTGGCTTCCACAGCTGCTGCACACAGATCCCCAAATCTACCTCCAGCCTCAGAGGCCGAAGTTTCAAGCGGCCCCATTCTTCAGGTTTGGCCTACTTACCTTTCTTGTTTTTGCCGTTTATGACATCGTAGTAAATCTGCAGCAGGCCATCAAAGTCCGCCTTGCTGCCTCCTTTGGGTTCCACAATGACAGATTTGATCGACTCGAGCTTTTCCCACAAACCAGTGTGGAGCCAGCGGTTTCTCAGTTTATCCAACATCTGAACAGGGGAAGCAAGAACAAGAACGGCAAATGTTCACTTCCTTTTAAGAATAATCTATGTTTTTTCATACAGTAAGATGAGCCAGCCTGGTCCCCTACGAATTCATTTCTCAGGTGAGTGCACTTCTTTCCTTTCTAAATTTGTTCAGGCGAGCCACTGCAAAATCCAAACGTTATGCTTGCTTGTAAACTTTCCCAGCATGTGGACCCTTTTCTGCCATGCATGACGATAGCTCAGGAAAAGCAAAAGGACTTCTTCACAGCATGAAACTATGAAATTCACCTCCACAGGATGGAGTGCTGGAGACTGAAGGGGATTGCTGGGAAATGAGGGTGTCCTTGGCTGCGGGTCCTGATTGGCTGCATGCTTCCTCTGGTGTCAGAGGCAGCAGGCCTACAGGGGCCCCTTGCTGAGGAACATGGGTGGGAGGTCGCACTCCTGTCCTGCAATTCTCTCCAGGAAACGGCTCCTTTTGGGGAGCATCATGACCAAGGAAGCTGATCACATCAGACGATCAGGAACATGTGCTTCCACGAATGCAGTTCGTTCAACTGATGTTTAAAAACTGGATGCCGTACGCTCTATGGAGGGAAAACTACATCGGACCTCAACTGACGGATGACCAACTGACAAGTAGGAGGAGACACCCGGAAGGCGCCCTTCTTCGGTCCCAGCGGCCCTCCCACCGATGTGGTCGATCAACTCCGCTCTGCAAAGAGCTGTCCACGGTTCTGCCCCCCTGCCCAGACGCCTCCTGAGATATATCGGCCCTCCCTTGCAGGTCTCAGTCTGGTCCAGGGCACCCCTGTATGTTTATGACTGGGGGGAGGCGGTAGAACCCACCTGCCTATTCCAGGGCGCTCACGTGCGGCTGGATCGCCTTGCCCCAAACTGCCTGGGCCATTCGCTTTCATTTTAAGTTGATTTTCCTTTGCTTAAGTTGATTAAGTTCGTGTTCATTTCCAGTAGACCAGCCCTTCCAAACCAGGTGCCTTTCAGACTGCTCCCACCGGGGATGATGGAAGTTGGTGTCTAACAGACGTGGAGGGCACCTGGCTGGGGAAGGCTGCGATCAGCAAGGTGCGCTTTTGTGCTCATGGAGAAGACAAAAGCCACCCAACCTTACACTTTTGCCGCTGTGGCAGATGCGGCTCAAATACTGCAAATAAATAAAGCTAAATAAAATATACTGCTGCCATGCCTCACAGGAAATGCTACCTTCAAAAGGAGGGTTGTACAGGAGAAACAATAGCACTTTGGGCAGAAAAAGCATCAAGAGTTGGACTTAAGGTTAGAAGTCACTGAGAGAAGCCATTAACCATCAAGAGCAAGTCACTTTTGCACCCGGGGGAATAATAGTTTTCGCAGTGTGAGGCATTCTACATATGTTTTATTAAACTCTTTGGAAATGTACTCTCCGCAAATGAACCAAGCCTTCTCCCAGAGAGGATAGCAGGTGGGGTGGAGGGTTGGGGTGGGGAAAACAGAGGAAGAAAAGTCCTGCGTACCTACGGCCAACAGAAGCAGATTAATCTTTGAGAGACACTCCGCTTCTGCAGGATGGAGAAAGCCACAGAAGCAGCTCCTCTGGGCCAGGTTCCTACGCGATACGCACTCAGTGTGCAGTCGGGCAACACAAGCACTTGTGCTGGGCTCACAAACCACGGTGCACCCCATTCCCCCGATCGAGAGATTAAGTTTGTGGGCAAGTGCAAAAGTAACAACCCGTTATTAAGAGACTAAGAACTGGCCACTATGTATGCTAGTTAGTTAGTTATCGATTTATATCCTGGCTTTTTCCTGCAAAGGGTTCAAGGCAGCTTACATCATCTCTCCTCCTGCATCTTATCCCCACAACAACAACCCTGTGAGGTAGGTGGGGCTGAGAGTCTGTGACTGGCCCAGAGTCACCCAGTGGGCTCCATGGCCGAGCGGGGACTCGAACCCAGATCATCTGAGTCCCAGTCCCATGTTCTTAACCACTACGCCACACTGGCTCTCAATGGTTATGCACTGGGCCACTTCGGAATTAGCACTGGAGTCAGGAGGGTCACTAAACTGGACCCCCTGGCCATGGTAAGAGACCAAAGATGTCTCATCCGTAGCAGCTCAGGGCAGCCCGAATGAAACCACTTTTAACAACAGAGCTAGGTTTCCGTTTTGAGTTCCTTGAACGTCCACCTTTTCGAGGAGGGGGGAGTCTTGGAATAATCGTTTTTGCCTGCCCATCCCCTCCCCCAGAACCCACCACCTCATATCCTGCACCAGCCGCTCTGCTTTCCAAGTGGTGTTTCTCCCCCTTGCCAAAGGTCAAGCACTACTAGGCTCGGTGGTCGTTTCGTGCATCGAGAAGGGCTCAGTACACTTTACAGCAGGGGTCTCAAACTCAGCTGACCTGGGGGCCGCTGGAAGTAGAGTCTGGGTGAGGCTGGGCTGCATCAAGTATTCCACCCCCGCGGTGGTGGGGGGCCGCTCATCCCACGGCCGGCCTGGGCGCCACCAGCGCTTTGAAGGCCGCAGGGCCCCTCCCCTGTGCCCCAGCCGTCCCGGCCATTGGCCCGCGGGCCGCGCGTTGGAGACCCCTGCTTTACAGCTTCTTAAAAGGAGGTAGTGTGAAACAACAAATTTCAGCTGCTGGTCTTACTTCCTCGGGGCTGCATCCACCTTAGAGAAATTGAACAATCCAGATCATAGTCATAATTACTTTGATCTTCTTGTGAACCCAGCAAGCCTGCTGCTCAGGCAGCTTCCAATGGATTGTACTTTTTTGTACTTGCCTTAACCTGTTATTTAACCTGCTAATGGAAATAACCTGCTAATAGAAATATTGCATTTCTATTCTGCCACTTTTCCCTCCTGCTAGCAATCTACGGTAGCGCCATTTTATTTGCTTGTTTATTATTAAATTTGTTTAAAGATCACCCATTAACATGAGGCTCTCTGGGCAGCCATTACAATAAACTCACCAGTAGGTAACAGATAAAAGAAATGAAATATATGATACAATAACATATGACTAATCAATCACAATCAAACTTACATTAGTAAATTAAAAGCGGAGCAAATGGGTGTAAAAATAACCTATGAGGTGCCGTAAGAGCGCTGGAAAAGAAAGGTGTTTGTCAGGCACCTAAAACTCAACAAAGTAGGTGTCTGATGAGTCTCTGATGGTGACACATTTCAGAGTCGGCGTGCCACCACGGAAAAGGCCCTCTTCCTTGCAACCCATAGGAAGGCCTCCACGGATTACCTTAAATGATGGACAGCAATATATTTTATTCCCAGAACAACAACCCTGTAAGGCAGGTTAGAGGCTGAGAGTGAACGGCTGCCCAGAGTCACCCAGTGAGTTTCATGGCCTAGAAGCGGGGTCTCCCAGGTCCCCAGTCAAACACTCCAAGCACCACACCACACTGGCTTGCCATGTGAAGAGGCAACCACTACATTCCAGTATGTACAGCAAATGTGCGATTACCAGGTGCATGCCAACAACCGTCGCCCTTCCGTTCCATTGGGCTCAATTAGAAATTTAAGCATGCATTTAATTCCGCTGCGCTGAGGTCAGTGAAGCTCGGAAGCATCTAAAGGTTGTCGTTCTACAGAGTTTTATCCTTCACAGTGGCATAAAACAGTAACAATAAACCAATATTCCTGGCTTATCCAGGGTCAATGTGAATAAGCAGCATTCTGCACCGTGGCACTCATATGCAGAAGCTCCCCACCTCCCCGCCCCCGCTTCCCATAAGCACATAAAACAACCAGAAATGAATAGCTTATTGTAATGTCTGAACCTATAATCTCGGTCCCTTGCTCTCAACCAAGCCAGGGTTTGTAACTCCAACAAACAACTCTGGTTTCTTTCTATAAAAGGTCTAAGACCTTTTTATTCGATCAATATTTTAATATGTATTAATTGGATTTTATTGTTTGTATGTTATTGGATTTTCAGCCAGCGTGGAATAGTTAATTTAGTTAATTTATTTTATTCTGATTAATGTTGTAAGCTGTCCAGAGACAGAAGTAATGGAGGGCATACAAATTTTTACATAAATAAATAACAATTGTGGCTTGTTTGGGAGGAATAAAGTAGGATCCAGGCATCATCATAAGCTATTCATTTCTTTAAGTTCTCTTGCCCCACGGAAGCAAAGCACCTGTCCGCACCACACCAAGATGAACAGGGAATCTCTCCGTGTGAATGCGGTCTTTGGCTGGACTGAATCCGTTATGCTCTACGGCATAAACGAAGGAACAGGTTGGATCCAGTGCCAGAAAGGGAGTCAATTCTTTGCTACCCGTCCACTAAGCGACGTAACATAAAACAGCACATTAAACAATCAAAAACATGGCCATTACCCTATTATCTCACAGCCGTGTTTTATTTCTGGCCGTTTCTGGGCGCTCAGAAGGCTTTCGATCATGTCCCCTTGGATTATCACCTAATCAACCAACTGCTAAGCTGCCTCTGTGCCTGATCCTCTGGAGCTGGGCAATGCTCCAGTGTAAGTACCCCAAATGGCTACTTGAGTTGGCCTCCATGACTGGGCGAACACCGAGCAGGAACGGGAGTGGTGGTGGGAAGAGAAAGGCGCACATGGGCTGAATCGAAACGTGTGTTCCCCCCAAGTCCGTTGGTTCCGACTGTTAATGGACCGTTCTATGAAGCCGAAAAGCGGATCGCCAAGGCACACCCCCGGGACCAACGGCTCGGTCGTTTCCAGGCACCACAAGAGTTCCCACTATGAGTGCAGAGGCCGAATTACGTCGAACAGAGAAGGAGCGGAAGTAGGAGCACATCCATTAGACTCCTCCTTAATAAAAAGAAAAGAAATGAATGCCGGCACCACCCTTAGTGCAAAAAGTTGGAGGCACTCGAGGGGTTTCACTGATCTAACAGCCCCCCCACACACACACGCACACGCCACCATCCAGAGCTCTTTGTGTGTTCGCCACTAGATTTTTCTTTCCGAATAAGCACTTGCTTCAAAATCAAAGTG